CATGTAAAACACATTCTTGAATAGGTAGCTACTCACTGTATGCAAAGTTTAGTCAAATCAAGTTCTGAGAGTATTTATAGAAGTTAGACCATCAGAAATACGTAATAGTGCCATGTTGTTTGTAGCAAGTTCTTGCAATTATCTGTTGCGTGCCGAGGTTCATGTATAGCTTTGATTACAATCTTATGGGGTTTTGATGTGCACAGCTCTTGTAAGTCCAGTTTGTGTTTTTAACGTTATCTGCAGAAGATTTTTTTTTTCTAGTCAGCAGATTTTAATTTGATCTGATGCTTCTGCCTTATTTAGGAAAAAGCAACTGATCCTGATAGCAAACTAGCTTGATGAACTAAGTTATATAAAACAGACTAATTATTCCATCATTTTTGGTAACGTTTTTCACTAAGTAATGACCCTTCATCTAAAGATGGGGAATTTGAAGGATTATTTTAACTAAGGGAGAGGCAGGAAGAGGTGCGGTAAATCTCAGAAGAGAGCATTTGTCACTCCCTTTAGAAGCACTGGTCGGACTTTGAATTAGGAATTTGATTTTTTTTTTTTTATATATTATTCACTGTACCAGTTCCTTTTCCTCTTGATTTTGAAATATTCAAGAAAGAGATGTATTGCTCCTACTTGGAGAACTACTTCAGTTGGTCTTTCTAAAAAATGTGGTCTTGTGAGTGTGGTTTCTTGCTTTATTTCCAGTCTTCCCTTTGTTTTGGGATTGGCAAACACCTGTTTTTTCTTTGACTAATATTTCTGAGGTAACTTTAATAAAGAATTTAATTTAAACCATCTATTTAGAGTCCCTTTTATAGTAACTGAGTTTAATGTTTCTGGATTTGCATGCTTCCAAGTAATTTTTAATTAATTACGGTGTAAAATAAACAGTTAACCCTGAGAGACATGCAGTCACTCCAGTGAAGTGATTACAAATTCTGGATTTAGGTTGCTTCAAACCTGAGAGCTGGGTGAAGTGGAGCCCACTGATGGGTGTTTGTATGCTTTGCTGATGAAAAATGGACCTGAAACAAGGTGGCTGTGTGAAACCTGATTCCCAAGAATGACTATTCACACCAAAAGTTGAACTAAAACATTTTTTCAGTGACTTTCTGAGGCCTGGCATACGTTTAGGGCTTAGTCAGGCTTTAGTACCGTATTTTTAGATGTACTGATGGATGCAACAGTTGAGTTGCAAGGGTTTCTGTAATGGGCTCCCAAAGAAAGTAAGTTGGAAGGGGTTTTGCTTGGTGCTTTTCAGTTGTGGTTGTCAAATTGTTGCGTTCGTGAACATTTTCAGTCATTCTGCCTGCAAGGGGCTGTTTTAGAGGAACCGCTGAGGTATGGTTTCAGTGACAAAAGTACAACTGCAAATGATCCTGATGACTCTCGTGAGTTGATCGTGATCAGTTGTTACGTTCGTTGCCTCATTTCTTAGACTTAACCTGACAGCATGTCAGCAGGGTACCTATTACGGTGCCATCTCAGAAACCAGTAGCTGAATTGCAGAAGATGCAGATGAGTGCAGGCACTGTAAAGCAGCTCTGAATATGCGTATCAGCTAGGTAATGCTGAGCTCAGAGAGGTGTAAATGGGATCACTTTTGATGGTTCAATGCGCAAGGTGTGCTATTTAGCAACTCCTAACAGTTTCTGTTACAAACTGGAGTTTGTCACTAGGTGGTCAGAGAGCTGGTGGGAAGGCCTGAGCGTGTTAGCCAGCTGCCTGCTGGCTGGCCCATGGACCAAGGAGGCAAATATTAACAGCACTGTACTGAGCATTCCTTTACCCCCCCCCCCCAAAAAAAAAAAAAAAAAAAAGGTAAGTTTTAACACATTGAACTCTGAGGATCTTCTTTTTCTGTCAGCATGTGAAGATAAAAACTGATAAGGGTTTCTCACTGCAGTGAGTTCACAGTGAGGTGTGATTATAAACTCTGATGAGGATGAAGAGTTATCTGAGTCTAGTTGACAGAAGACAAAATGGCGGTAAATTGGCTATAAATAAATTTTGACTTGAAATGAGAAGGCAGCCCATACTGCCTGCATCAGCTGGATGCAGGACAGCCCTTCCAGGAGCAGTGGGAGAGGTGCTACTGATGAAGCTCCAGATGAAATTTTGCTGCTTTTTTTCTCAGGAATAACTGTATTTAGTGCTGTGGTGTGTAAAACAGTCACAGGCAATTTGGTACACGCAGGATGTGTCTTCTGTTATGCTTTTGCATGCCTTTCCCATGGAGGAAAAAGATAACTAGTAGGGAAACAGTTATAAAGTTCTATTGAGAAATGCTACTTATGATAAGAAAAAATGTCTGGTAGCTGCTATTTGTGTCTCCTTTCTGATAATGCCATGAGGATAGCCAGCATGTGTCTTTCTCCCCTGGAAAATTATGGTACAGTTTGACTCTCTCTAATGGCTGTCTTGTTTCATTTTTCTGAAATGCCACATTGCTGTTAGGAAGACAGCCATACACATACAACCTGTGCTCACAATCTGGGAATTGGCATAGCGACGTTGCATTGCTAAGCAACAGTTGGCATCATGCTGTCTGCTAGAGTCAATCCCTGTTCATTCTCTTTGACTGAAAAATCCAGAGCAGCATCTAGCTCAAGGTTTAAGTAGTGAAAAAAGAATAGTAGATTGATGTCTGATTTTGTGTAAAGTTTGTCATTTGTTTTGTTAGTAAAGCATTAAATAACAATTCAGAGAAATGCAGTCAGGATGTGCTTTGCTCATCTCTAGAATGGCAAATCCCAATGATCTTGGTGCCTTGCAATGGATTGTCTATCGTGGGAAGTGAGACCAGTTCCTATACAGCCAGCAATGCCAGATCTTGCCAAATACAGTGTTAACTATGTATGGCTACATTATGTACAAATGTACATCTTTATACTAGTGGATTGTAGGATCAAAATAGTTCTTAATTATCTTCTTTAGGGTGTATATGCACTGTAGTATTTAACCTCCAAAGATGAAGATTTTGTGCATGTGATAGCCCTGGATTTTAAATGCCTTTTTTTGGTTAAGGGAAGACTTTCCTTTGCTGCTTCTGCAAAAGCTAATTGTATACTTATTCAGAAGGAAAATGCTTAAAAAACATAAATAAAAATCCCAATGAGAGATACTGCTAGTTTAGTAACTTCAGGTGGCTACCTGTTGTTTTAACTTTTGTTTAGTTATTGATGATACTAAGTGAAATTTGTTGCTAAGCTTCTTAGCTAAATATCAGATATGCACTGAAAATTCATCCTCTGTTCTTTCTTGATTTGTGAGACCTGGATAATTTTTGATCTATATAAGTTTGGGTTTTGTTTGTTTGTTTTGTTTCTTTGTTTGCTTGGTTTTGTTTGGTGGTTTGCTTTGTGTGTTGTTTTTTTGTTTCTTTTTTTTTTGTTGGTTTCTTTTTTTTTTTTTTTTGTGGGGGGTTGTTTTGTTTTGTGGTTTGTTTTTTGGTTTGTTTTTTTTTTTTTTAATACTTTCATTGCTCTTTCGAATCTCCATTTTCAGTAACTACAGTGAATCATACAACATTCCCAACTTCCTATTTTTATTAGCTACATTCCCAGCTACTCAGTGATGTAGAGTCATTCTTACAGTATATTTTGACCAAGTTCAGGAAAGAGGTATTTTGCCATGTTCTATGTTGAGATTTTTCACCTGTCTAGCAGATCCTTTGTAAAATTTGTATTAACTTTAATTCTGCATTTCTTTTTATTTTGCTTCATCCTTTGTTTCCAAGCATATTTCATACACTACATTTGCTGCTGCTTTTGCTGTGTTCCAATAACGTTTGTATAAGTACATATGCATAGACATTAATATAACCTTCATTTAATGAGTAGTTAGACTGTACATATTAAGTTCCCTTCATCTTTCAAAATTATTTCTGGTTATTTTTTCTGCCGTTTGTTAAAGCTTATGTGTTTTTTTTTCTAATCTTTCTGTTACTTCAATTTGCAGAACAAATGTGTTGTGCCGTGAGTGGTTGTAAAAATTAGTGTAGAATAGCAAATGTTTTGCAAGGAACTGATTGATTGTGTGAACCTGTTCACAAGCTCCACTGGTGCGATATATGCACACGCGCAGACATGTTTTCTGATCATAAGGATGAGCCAGAAGACTAAGTATTGTTCTTTGTACTATTTGCCAGTTGACTTTTCAGTGAAATTCAAGGTCTTACTACCTGTAGGAGAGTCTAAATGCCCCAGCACTATATAGTTCAAAGACATCCCTTAAGCAGTTAATTTTGGTCTTGAGTACTGGTTAGATGGTAAAGGTTGGAGGTTCATATAGGAAATTTTCAAGTTACAGGTTTTGCAAGAATTTTTTTCCTGACAGAAATATATATCAATTGGGATGGTCAGCCTGGCAATATTCAGAAATATTTTTATATACACTGTTGTCCAGATTGTTGTGGACTTCCTCCAGACTTTACCTTCAGTATTATTCAGAAAACTTAGAATGTGTTGTGTTGGTTTTTTGTTTGTTTGTTCGTTTTGGTTGGCTTTTTTTTTCCCTCCTGTCACTTTTCAAAGACTTTGTTGCTTTTGGAGGATGGCAAAGGTTTTTTTTTTTTTTTTTTTTTTTTTTCCTGTAAAGGAAATTGTTTTGCCAGGACCTGACCTGTGTGATGTATGCCCAAGTTCTGGTAATATGAGTCATGGCATTGAATGATGCTATCTGTAGGGGACATCTGGAGTATGATAGGGGTTTTGTTGGTAGAAAGATCAGGGTGGAAGGACTTCTACAATAGGACATAAGCCTTGCTTACTGTATCATGCACAATTTAAGAATATTTAATATGTACAGTCTATTTCTGCATAGCTGACTTGAAAAACACTGTAGTCTGTATATCTCCTGTTTTGGGATGATAGTTCCACTTTACCATATGAAAACTTTGAAGTATAGAGTGTGAGACAACAGAAGAATCAGAAGTCAAACCTTGTTCTGTGCCTTTATGTTAATCTAACTATATAATAATACCTGTTTTCTACCTGTAGGAAATCTGTCCAGTCTAAGTCGTCTTGGCTTGAGGTACAATAGGCTGTCAGCAATTCCGAAGTCTTTAGCAAAATGCAGTGAACTCGATGAACTGAACTTGGAGAACAACAACATTTCTACTTTACCAGAGGTGAGGATTAGAGGGAGTGGATTGGGGAGGGAATGTTGTAAGGCAGTGGTGTTCTGTAGAGGTATTAGAATGTGTGAAATTATTTCATCTTGCATCATAACTGAGGAATACTATTTTAATCTACATGTGTGTAATGTGAAATATTGCAATTCTGTACATATTAGGTATATCTGACTAGTAGAGAAGAACTAATGTCAAAAGTGGGAGCAATACATGTGATTGTACTTGCTCTCCTGTCTCTTTAGAAAACCTTAAATATGGAGTCCAGGTTCAAGCTAGATAAGTGTTTCTCAGTGTTTCTGTTTCATGGAGGCGGGGAAGAAGTAGAAAAATGGAAAATGATCTGGCTCTTTCCCCATCTAACTGAGGCAAGAAAGACCTTTAAGAGAGTGAGTAAAGCTTGTCACAACTACTTGGCCTCAGCATTCTCAGTGTGTAAAAGCGTGCTGTTGACACCAGTGCGATAGCATCTGGCAACTCATTGACACACCGTCCGTCAGTTAGGAAAAATAAAAATTTGCATAATTTTTCAGTTTCCAGTTGCTCTGGAAATGTGAGGATCATGGGAGAAAAGAGGAAGAGAAATCCATTTTCTTGCTTTTCTTTTTATGGATGCTGCAACTTGATTGTCTTACCTTGGTCTCTCTTGCTTCAAGCTTAGTGTGGGACCAAGGAAAATGTCTGTAGTTCCGGAGCCACCTTATCAGTCTCTTCAGTTAACATATTCCCTGAATAGAGTGCTTTGCTAGCTCAGGGGTGAAGAGGCAGAAGGTCCTAGTCCCCAGTGCATCTGTGTGTTTTTGTATACTCCTTCTCTAGAGTTGTCTGGAAATGTGCTCCTGTGGACTCCAGTTTCACAGTCCTGGATAGCTAGTTGGTTACAGACCATTTTTTAAATACAGCTTTGATGTCTGCAGACTTTGAAACTATTTAAACTGTTGGGTTGAAACTATTTAAACTGCTTTAAACCTTTTAATTTCCTTAATTTCTTGAGATCAGGGCAGCAGAGTGTGAGATGTTTGGCTGTATATTGTATACTTCTGGTGCTAGTAAATGTTCAGAGAAAAATGTTTGACTTGAAGCATTAGTGCTGGGAAAAAAAAAAGACAGAAAAAAATTTGATGTGATTGATTATTATTTTGGATATTTCTTCCATTGCTTTACAACATTTTGAGATGATGGCTTTGGGACACAACATAGAGTTTATATTCTGTATGTTTTAATGATGGTCCAAACTGCTTTCCTAAACTGTCATCTCCACCCTTCCATGCTGTATAAATTACTAGTATAAAATGAGTTAAAATGTTACCTAAAGAAGTATATAGGAAGCTACACATAGAAGAAAACCAAAATGCATTTGGAGTTAGGCAAAGCACTCATAGTAAAAAAGTGCAGTAAGTAACTACTTTCCTTCAGATAGGTTTCTGAACTCAGCAGGGATAGACTGAAAACATAGAATTTAAAAAATCTTTGGGTAAAATTAGAATTTAAGAAAATGTTACTGAGTGAAAGCCACCAGGCCGCTTTTAAGATGCGAGCTAAAATAGCTGACCCCACCCAGACATATTATAAAAGCAACTGCGGTATAATTACAAAAAGCTAATGTGAGGAATGATTACTTGCTTTAAAATATGTTCAGTCATAATACAAAACTCTTTGTGACTGTGCTGCCTTCTTCATGTATATTTGCCAACAATATATTAACACTTAAGCTGCTATCTTGCAGAAATGTATAGTTTATGCTGTAATCTGTTTAAAGGAAAACATTCTGTGCTATAATACAAAGAAATGTATTTGTAGAAGAAACATAGCTGAAGCTGCTGACACAATGCCTAATAAATATTTTATCTTAAAAGGATGGGCAGGGAGAAGGCAGCACTGTCACAGCTCTCATAGATACAAGAGCATTGTTCTCTTTGTACTGCCAAAGCCCTCTTGCTTCCCTTCAAATGTGTTTAATTACTCTAGGCTATTAGACTGTATTAGCTAACATATTTTTAATATTTTTTTGTATGGAAACAGACTTGAAAAATGTTTTTTTGAAATGCCAAGATTCATTTGAAGCAATAAAGTATGTTTGTAACAGAGCTCAGGGACTGCCTTAACCCTAGGACAAAGAATAGCTGTTAATTAAAGTATAGCTAGAAGCAGTATTTCCTAATCAAAGATTATACTAGTTAATGATTAGATTAGCTTAATATTGATTTGAAGATCTATTATTTTATCTTTAGGGGAAAAATTGCTTCACTAATATTTGCTAAGATGCCCCCAGAATTGTATTTCAGTGCTTAAAGTTTTAACCATGCCATGTAAACAAGTCCCTATTTGATCCTGTTTTATTTACAGTAGTGTTAATAAACTATTTAGAAAAGTTGCCAAAGTTTTCCTGGTGAAACATCAAAACCATGTTCTTAAAGCTTTTGCAGTAAATATAGCACTGAAGTTGCAATCCAGAAACACTGACATTAGGAATATGGTTGGAATAATTATCTTGTTACCGTTCATTCCTGATTGCAGATGTTGCATTATTTATGGTATGTAATGCTATGCATAAATCTCCAGGTTCTGTAATACTTAAGCAAATAGGGCTGAATTCAAGTTGGCATAGTAATAAGCAAAGGTGACACTTAAGCAGTAATTTAGATCTCATTATTCATCCCAACAGTTCCAGCAACGTGCTTGGCACATAGCTAACAAATAAACTCCGAGATCCACACTGCTGAGATTTTAGAATCTAATTAGATTGTGAAGTGAAATGAGACTCTGTATTCAATGGGCAACCATTGCTATCCAGTTTAACTCCAGGCTTCTTGCTTTTAATTTCTTGGGGGTGGGGGGGAAGTGGAGTAGTAACTATTTAGGAATATTTCGAAATCACAAAAAAACCCTGGAATTTCCAAATCCTTCCCTTCCCATTTTTTTTCTCTATCCTGTCCAATTATCTGAAACTGTTAAAGCCTAAAAGGAAACCTACCCGATGTGATCACAGTATGGATTTTTATTGAATTAACAAAGATTTGTACCAGAGGTATCAAATGCCTGTTTGAAAAACTGCATGCAGTTGATACTTCTTTATACCCTCTCTCAGCTGTGAGCAGGCAGCAAAACTGGGCGAGCTGCAGTGGGGTGGCATTGGCCGAAGCTGGATGGACACGCTACTGACTCTGCCTGCCAGCCCCTGCCCCTGTGCTCTTCAGAGCCGCCCGAGGTGTAGCAGTGTGGTAATAAAAACATTCCTTTCGGAGGAGAAAAGAGCTACAAAACCTCCTAAACTTGTTCTTTTAAATGTGATATGTTTGCTTTTTTTGTATCTGGCAGTATGTAAGGAGAAAGGGGGAAATAAGGTAAAGACTGATGACTGTGAGCATAGATTGTTGCTGACGGAAGTTTTATCACATTTAATACTGGTTTGTGTGTTGCAACACTTACTTAGGGGATGGACTTGAGGGGAAAAAACATTTCTAATTAGACCCATGAGGGAAAAGAGATGTATTCAAATAAATCTGTCCTAAGTTCCTGGGTGGTTTTCTTCTCTCTACAGGGTCTTTTATCCAGCCTTGTCAAACTGACTAGTTTAACACTCGCCAGGAACTGCTTCCAGTCCTATCCCGTGGGTGGCCCGTCCCAGTTCTCCACAATCTACTCTCTCAATATGGAGCACAACCGCATCAATAAAATCCCCTTTGGAATTTTCTCTAGAGCTAAAGTATTAAGTAAGCTGAACATGAAGGTGAGGCACAGAACCATGCTACTGTGTGTAAAGTCAATGAGGAGCTCTGTTTGCTGCTTCATGAATTCTGGCAAATTTAATAATACAAGGAATGAATTTATCACGCTGAAGTGGACACTCCTTCTGTCACATATAGGAACAATTCTGTATTAGTTTAAAAATCTAAGATCAAGACATTGATTTGTCTATTTTTGTTAGTTAAGTTTTTGTCACATTTTCTTGAACAATGAAAATAAGAAAGTAGGTTGCAAAGTTCGTGAATGTTCACATGGGACATGAACACGTAGTGTAGCTTATTTCTTCCCCCCTCCCCGTTACAGTTTAGATTATAAACAAAATTATGTGAAATATATTTTTTTAATATATTCTTTCAAAACTTAAGTTTGGAGACTTTTGGCAGTAGTTGTAGAGCACAGAAAAAGAATCTGTAAGTCTCTGCTTTGTACACTTAGAGCGAAGAAAACTAGGAAAAAGAGAGTATGTTCTTCTGTGAATGGTTTTGTTTTGAGTTCTTAAATTATTTAAAAAAATAATGGTTCAGCTACAGCTTTAGAATATCTTTTGGCACAAATCGATTCTCAGTTTGCATTAAGACCATTTTTTTTTAATCACAGACCTGTTTGTAATTTTGCATGTTTACCAGGACTTTGTATGACCTGGGGTTTTTTTAGATTTTGTGGTGTCTGGTCTCGTTCAAATTTTATAGCAGCATTTTGAGCAGTAAGATGTTCAGCTTAATTTCAAATGCTTTTACTGTGAGCCATTAAGGTATATTTCCTTTGTGATATGTTTGTGGGTTTTTTTGTTTGTTTTGATTTTTTTGTTTGGGGTTTTTGTGTGTGTGTGTGTGGTAGTATGTTTTGTTGTTGTTGTTGTGGGGTTTTTTGTTTTGTTTTTTTTTTTTTTTGTTTTTTTTGTTTGTTTGTTTGTTTTTTGTTTTTTTGTTTTTTTTTTAGCAAATTCCATGTATTTTTAGGATTCCAGTGTTGCTCATAGCATCTTTGTAAGTTATGGTGAATTTTCTGTTGTTTTTTTTGGGTGTGTTTTTTTTGTTTTTTTTTTTTTTTTTTTTTTTTTTTTTTTTTTTCCCCTCACCTTCCATTGTACCCAGCAAAGAGAGGACAAAAAATGTTTCAACTACTGGGACACATGAAATCTTGAGAATTATCTACTTCTAATTTTTCCACTCCAGTTTATATTAGTAACACAGAGTCAATTCTGTGACTTTAGGTTGTGACTGCTTATTATGTTTGGAGGAATTAAAAAGATATTTGACCAATTATTATTAGCATCTTATTCTTCTGATTTAATTATCAACTACTTTGTTATGAAGTATTTTGTAAGCAGTTTGTTTAATCTCTCAGATGCCTTGCCAGCTTCTTGCAAGCGCAGACCCTAAATGTTTGATATGTTAAATCACAGGACAATCAGCTGACCTCTCTCCCCTTGGACTTCGGGACTTGGACTAGTATGGTAGAACTGAACTTAGCGACCAATCAGCTCACAAAAATCCCTGAGGATGTGTCTGGGCTTGTTTCTCTTGAGGTGAGCAAAGAGTATAAACAAATAGCTAAGTGAATCCCTGCAAATAAGCATTCTCTGCTTCAGGTTTAAGTCATATTACTTTTGGGTCAAATAAAGTGAAACATGTATAAGTATGTATGCTATTTCATTAGATGTGTTGCATCTTTTTACGGCTGTAGTCAATAGCTTTTTGAATGTTGTTCTTCAGGCTCTAGATGAGTGTCTGTGCACAAAGAGTGAAGTACATACATATTTTTAACTATGTAGACATTTTTCTCAACAGAAAGTTAGTGTTATAAATGCAATGGCACTGAACTCAGTTCGATTCCTAGAGAGACCAGCGTGGAAACACAATTAAATAGTCTACAGCCAAAAGTGGCTTGAATGTAGTGCCATGGAGCCTCGTAGGCAGCAGGGTGGGAATTCTCAGCCTTTTAGCAGGAAGAACTTGTAGGTTGAAACTGTGAACTAAACCTGTTGTGTCCACTGTTCCTGTTTCCCAAGGTACCATCAGCAGAGACAGACTTAATTGCCTTGGAGGGACATAAAGGTAGAGGTGCTTGTTCAGGCAGTTGAGGGGACTTCAATAGCCTCTGTGAGTTGCTGGGAAAAATCTGTTAAAGTACAATAGCAAATGGCATATTTGAAATTGCAGATTTCCAGTGTGACTGCTGCTTTGAATAATTAATAATTCCCATAGTTTGGGGTAAATATTTTATGTCGGAGTAATAGCTATTTAGTGGCCTGGTTCCCTTTAAGTTAAGGCTGTGATTGATGTGATTGAGAAGTTAGTAACCTCTAACAACTGGATTTGCCGGTGGTCTGCTGGCTGCCGAAGCTGGAGAGCTGCGTGGCCGGCAAACCTGTTACCACTATTTTTCTCTATAATTAAAAAATCAAATACAAATAACTTTGGGCAGTGTTTACACCAAAGTGAAGGTTCCCACAGCAGTGCTAAGACAGCTGTGTTGCATGTAGGTAGTATTTTCTGTTCCTGCCTTTGTTTCTTGATATGTGATTAAAACACTACTATTCTTATCATTCTGTGTATATCATAGTGCATAAAGGAAGGCCACCAAAATACTGCTTGTGCGGATGCCAAGACTTCGGCTTTTATTAATTTTCATTTTCACTTTGATTTTAGCCTTGTTTCCTGTTCTGTTCCTGACTTTGGTATTTCCATGTTACATGAAGCTAGTGAGAGTTGGGACTGGTAGAAGTCAGGCATTTGCAACATTCGCTGGCTTAGCAGGCAGTTGTATGTGGCTAGGAAGAGGGTCTGCACTGGGTCCTCTTTCACATCCTTGTGTTTCAATGTGACTTGTTAAATAACTAGTTAATAGCATTGTTTAGTCAGTAATTTATTACCTTACTCACCGTGTTGTTATGAGGCTTGATTACTTCTACAGACTGCAAGACTTCTCTGGAAGAAAAATGGTATACTAGTGTAACCCCTGTTAACTTGCGTGTGGTATAATGAGTAAGTCTGTTAATTGACATTGCAAATAAGGATGCATTTCTCAAACCTAGGGTATTTATAATTCAACTTAGAAAAGGGGAGAAAAACAAGAGGATAACACCATAATAGGGGCAGGTATGTGATAGGAGACCATTTTGAAAAGTCAGTTGGATACCTGTGCAGTGTTCTGCTTAAGTGCACTTATCTGTATGTTTACTTGCTGCTGCTCCTAACCAAAGGGACATAGGGAGAAGAAGAAGTACTAAGCTTTTAAAAGAGGACTTGGCAAGCACAGCAAATAATGTAAAACATGATTATGAGATAGCTATAAGGAAGCATAACAAAATGATAGGGAAGTCCAGGAAGAAATTGGTTTTCTTTGGTCATTTGAAGAAATAAGGTATTCTTTAGTTTTGTTCTGCATTTATTATTATGTAAAATAATGTTTGAAAGAATTCTGTCTTAAATCTATGTATTTGTATCATTAAAGACTCTAAAAAATTATGTTAATCACTGATTTGCTTTTTTTTTTAAATCTTTTCAGTTTGCTTCCATAATTTAAATATAAGCTAATCTTGGACTTTATTACTTGAAAACATAAAGAGATCCTGCCTTAATTTGTTACTTACTTATTATGTTGCTGAAATTCTGTGTGTTTGGTTGTTTTGTCTTTTTTTGAGGTTCTTATCTTGTCAAACAACCTCCTAAAGAAACTTCCCCATGGAATTGGAAATCTACGGAAACTCCGAGAATTAGATCTAGAGGAAAACAAACTGGAATCCTTGCCAAATGAAATAGCTTACCTCAAGGATCTGCAGGTGAAACAATAATTGGCCAAGATAAACATCTTATGTTCTTTATTTACACTGTGCTGATTTAATTACAGCTAGGGTGATGAGGGAAACTATTTGGGTCTGGACATAAAACCAAAAGTTAAAAGTCTTGAGTGACTTCATCCACAGTCTGTCCCCACTAATTCTTCCCTGGATTTATCAGTTAATATTGAACAAACAAATTTTGAAGAGTTTCACTTGTACCATGAGTACAATACTGCCACAGGAATAGCCTCTGATTTCAGTCATATTCATGAAAGCTTTTGTATTTAGGCGCATATTTTACTGTGCACTATTTTATTTTTATGTTTAGTGGTGCTTAATAGAGGTCTGAAACGTTGTTGAAGGCTAGAAAGTTTTTTTGTTCAAATGCTGGAGGGTAGAGACCATCAATTTATCAGCTGTACATCTTGTTACTGGTGGTTGTTTGAAGCAGAAGTCATTAACTTAATTTTTAAAAATATGTTTTTCCCTTAGAAATTGGTTCTGACTAATAATCAGCTGACCACCCTTCCCAGAGGGATTGGTCACCTTACCAATCTGACTCACCTTGGGCTTGGAGAGAATCTTCTCACACACCTTCCTGAGGAAATTGGTAAGATCCCTTTTTCTGTTTTTATGCAGTGTGCCTGAGCCCTAAGATAAGCATCTACTGTGCTCATAAGTAGAGGCCACAAAATTCATTTGAAACTTCTAGATATATACAACCTGATGTGAAGCATAGGCTACAGGAACACTATAGTGTATGATCTTTATCTTGCTGAACTGTAGTGAAACGAATGGTCTAGCTTTTCTCAGTTCTGCAGAAAGCTGCCAAACACACATGAACTTGGAATGGTAAGATTCCTTTTCTCTCCAAATTCTCCCACAATTTGCATATTGTCAATCACTCAACTTCATAGACCTATTCTTGGAAAGAGAAAGGAAACACATGGTCCTACTCCAATTCCATGGTTTAGACAAAAACGTTGTGTAAGGTATAGACAGCTGAAGCAAATGTTTATGCTAATAGTCCCTCTGCACACGCTTCTGTTTATAGACCATCATACTGTTTTTCACTTTGATGGGATAAGAAAGTGATGAGGAAGAAATCTACAGAGAGAGAGGCATAGGATTCTTTTTGTCTACTTGAGACATTGAGAGTAACTGGGGTTCAGAGCATCTGAAACTGAAAACCCAGGTTTCTTTTATAGTTAGTCACAAGCATGTAGGTCCAGAGCATGATTGTGAGCACCTAATATCTTAAAGTTAGAGCTTATTATGGAGGAAAAAATGGTGGGACAAGCTACACAAAGCAAAATCTGATCAGAAACAGTGATGTGCAAATGGGGAAGGCCTGCTCTGTCTCTCCCAGCATCTTTAGTGAAGAGCCATTATAGCCCCTGCTCATCCTGTATGTGCCTCAGTGTGAGCGCGCCTCAAACAATCTAAATCTGGAGCTTTGTAATTTAGTTCTTAAGTTAGTGGAGAGAGTTTGGATGCTGTGGAAACCAGCTGTGGAATTAAAATCAGTAAACACATTTCAAATACTATTGTAGGAGTACAATTTTGTTATTAAAGCTTGCTGTTTTAACAGATTAGAGAGTAATTAACTATTTTCAGATGTGGCTGCTTCATCTGTCATGCTATCAGCTATTTCTCATTATTGCTTCGATAGCCTTTTTGTTTTTTTAATGTCTTGAGTCTGGCTACTGTCTTCTCTTGTGAAAGATTAAATAGGTTATAGATGATGTTTATGGTATGTAAGATTGGAAAATGGGGAATGTTTTGAGGAGGACTTGTATGTTTGGAGTGTATTTCAAAGATATGGATTAATTTTGATATTTGATTGCTGTGGAGGAATGGAAGTCTTAAGAAAGAAGAAATTACAGTTTTCCAGCTTCTGGTTAATCTATATTGCAGTATCTGTAGTAGAGGCAAGTTGTAAAATTTGAATTTAGGAAAAAATTTTCACACAGGTTTGTTCCATTTAATAAATCCACTGCTGTGCGGAGATCTTTCCTGCTTTCTTCCTATGGTACATTACAGTTACAACTTCAGGTCTTTAATATATGGGTTCTAATTACGGAAAAGGCATGGCATAGATATTTTTAAAGAGATAATAGATATTGTATGGTATAAATATTTTCTAGGCCCTTCTAACTAGATAGCTAGTCAATGTTGCCTGCAATTGCAAAGCATTTGTCTGAACAGTTATGGTGAAGTCCCTCTCAGTTCTCTTATTCAATGTATTCTCAGTCCAGTTGTTATCTAAAGGAGATGTAGTAATGGATATTTTTACAGGGAAACTAAAGCAAATTGGTTCTTGCCTAGGTTTCAGCAAACAGAAAACTTGCTGTGCCTGAAAATAGGAGTTTGGATGAGTTACTGACTCAAGATTCTATGTAGTAAAGAATCTTCAAGTGGATTTAGAGCTTCTGTCTAAAAGTTATAAACTGCGTGAATAAAAAAAATACTACTTTGTATTATTTTATTTTAACCAGGTACACTGGAGAATCTGGAAGAACTGTATTTGAATGACAACCCCAATCTACACAGCCTTCCCTTTGAGCTGGCTCTTTGCAGCAAACTGTCAATAATGAGTATTGAGAACTGCCCGCTCAGCCACCTTCCACCTCAGATTGTTGCAGGAGGACCCTCCTTCATCATTCAGTTCCTAAAAATGCAGGGACCATATCGTGCCATGGTCTGATGCTAATCGGATTGTCCAATACACTGTACAAAATACAAACTGCATTAATGTTGTAATTGTCTGTATATGTATATATAATATAATATATCTGGTTTATATTATATTATATATATATATAAATATATAAATAATATAAAAAGGCAAATTTAAGACTGCATTATGTGTTTCTGCTAATAGAGGAATCATAGCCATTTAGATTTTTTTTTTTTACTCTGTAAAAATGCTTGTCTAAGTTTTCTTTGCTGAATTTGATGGAAGTTGTCTGAATAATCTGGAAATGCCAGTTCATTTTAAGCAATTGCCAATGAACTCAAAGTTTAAATTTAAGGGAAAAAATAGTTTTGCTTAGATTTACTTTCAGTTAAGAGAAATGTATAACCTTTATATAATGAACTTCTCTGTTTTCCTCCCGCCTTTTTTTTTTTTTTTTTTTTGTGTCAAAACCTGAAAGGGTCATGTGTCCTGAGGTTGGGATTTTCTTTTAACTTATTTTGAGATTTGAAGCAAATAGTGTTTTTATATTGTTTACAGTCAGAGTAAATCACTGGATTTTGTTTTATTCCGATTTGCTCTGTTTTAATCAATCATATCTAGAATTTATATGTGTCTGCTGATGAATTTTTATCAACCGGTTTGTATACTAAAAGCATACACTCATCAGAAAAACTGGCAGGTGAAAAGGATGCAGTCAAAACAAAAGAAAAAGAAAAGAAGAAAAAGCTTGAATTCCTTTAAGTCTTGCTTCCCTGAGTTATCAGTTGCAGGCATAACATATCTGAACTGAGCCTTTTGCGGTTGGTCTTTTCTAGCACAAGTAAACCTTTTCAGATTGGTAAAAACATTGAGTATACTCAGTGAAGAGCGGTTTTCATTTTGTGAAGTAACAAGTCCATGAGGTCTAACAGTACAGTTAAATGGCAAGGAAATAATATATATGTACATTTTTATTACAATGTTGAGTCATAAACTACAACAGGCAATTTTAAGGATTCCTTGTAGTCCGTGTACAATAAATGAATGTGTCTTACTTTTAAACATTGCAATATATGTAAGTTTTAAGGTTGGTTAACAATGTACTATGGTTTTATATCTTGACTTGCCTTGTACCTCCTTCCATTATGGAACTTCTGTGTCCAAGCACAATATCTTCACACTGTGCTGTTTTGCTGCTGAACTAAATGCACTTTTCCCCACAGCTGGGGCACTTGCTTCAAAATATTCAGTTCAGTATCTTGATTATTCTTTTTTAACTTCATCCTATCTGTTTCAGTATTAAACCAATCTATTAAAAAAGAGGCACCTTTTTTATTTGTGCATAGATGTTGGTAGCTCAAGAGAAACACTGTAAGTAGTGGACATTCAGTTTTATCATGACTTTCTTGGTTGTTTAAAAGGCAGAAGATGCTTCAGGGAGATTTACACTATTGTTGCACTTGTAGGGCCAGTTTTCCTTTTTCAGGAGGGTAGGAACTCGAGGTGGTTGCATTCCACGGTTACTCAAGCACTGTCCAGTTTATACTCATTGGAATTGCTGCTGGGGTAGTATGACTTAGAGGACTGTACCTTTTGAACAAAACCAAATCAGCTGATGCCATGGGATCTCTTTTTCACATGCAGAGGTTTGGGGAATATTATTTCTGGCTTTCAGGCATGCTTACTTAGACGTATTGCCTTGATCTATTTGCATTCTGTTTTGTCATACACCTTTTCTTTAACAAGGAGTAAGTTTAAATGGAAGGCAGGTGGAGATATAAAACCTTAGAGGGCTTAAACATGCTGTAAAACTATTGTAGATGTCACTGGATTTTACTAAGTAATGTTCTGTTCTTTCTCACACACTCTATCTTCCCCCTCGTGGTTTTTTTTTTTATTTTATTTTTTTTTTACATCTACTGTAGCTTTTCAGTTTAGATTTTAGTTTATAAAAGGCTAGTTCCTTACAGCTCTGCCTGAAGTTAATCTTTCTTAGCATTACGGTGTTAAAATATGAAGATGCTGAAATGCTTAGTATCAAGACTGTAATCTAACTTCTGAATATACTGCTGAATCTGTATTTGTGCCCTCAGGTCACTAGGGGAAACTGGTTTGATTAATATGGTTCCTTAAAACAAAAGTGGCAACCCTTTGTGTTTTCAAGCATCTTGGTCTCATTCCCTGTCAGCTCCTCAATCCCATTTTTATGAGTTGACAGGATTGAATTTTAGTTTGTATATATGTTGATTATTCACCTTGTTAAGGTACATGGTTAATGACTGTATGATTGGAGCTGACCCTCTCTCACATAAATTCTTGTGGAGAAGTTGGCTACCAAACTAGTGCTCGTTACACTTGCTTAAAAACAAACTACTCTTTTCATTACACTTATAGGAATAAAGCTATGTTTTAATTCATTACAATATTAAAAACAGGATATTTTTTCAAACTATCTTTGTACTAGTATGGTTGTTGCAATGCCAGATAATCCTGAGCCCTGTTTTAGGAGCTTAATTTTATACATTCTGAGGTGAAAGCTTATTTTTTCAGTGTCTCAAGAGAGATTTGAATAAAAATAGAGTGAGAGAAGTTCTGGTACAGGAGAAATCAACTCAGAAGGATTTGAAAAATTCTTTAAAATTATCCAGAAAGTTTAAGTATTACATGTGTGGCATGGATTGGGAATAGGTGCATATAAATCCATGTAAGTCCATACATGGATTTATATCCAAATCTATATACAGATCCATATAAATCCAGCTATTTTCATCAGTCAAAACAGTCTTACATCCTGACATAACAGACTTTTGCATCTCCCAGGATGCTGGATTGTTAAGTGGTGCAGTTTCTAAATTGTATTTAATGCCTGATGACATGCAGTTGGACATATGTGCTGGGTTTTCCATGTTTAAGAATTTTGTTTGGCCTAATCAATTAAAGTATGAATGGAAAGAACTTCATACTGACAGGTGTATGTATAACACATACATATATATATATATGTATATGTGTATCTATATATGTATGAAAGTATAGACAAAGTGGAGAAATTAATTCTTTATGGCACCTTTGAAAACAAGATGGAGAAACAGGTGATTCCCAGATACTTGTATTAAGTATTTATCCCCCTTGCCATACTAGGGGAAATATTTTAGAAGGGTTATTGAAAAGTGTGACAATCTTTACTTTGGGTGGAAATCATGACCTTGATTGCTTGCCCATAGATAAAATACAATTTTGTATGTGTCTGTGCCTCTGTACATAAGAATATGTACATATACACATGCCCTGTAAAAACACTATCCTCAATCATGTCTTGATTTAACAAGGTAAATTACTGTACTATAGACTATATAGTATTGTGGAAGTCTGGTAAGGTGTAAAGCAGATAAGTGATTTGTTGAATAATGAAAAGAAGGAATAATTGCTGTTGTGACTCATGTTGGTCACCTATTGCATTTAAGTTTACTAAACAGTTGTTTGGATATTCTTTGCAAAACCCATTAAATTTCTGTCTCTGGCTGTCCCATATTTAAGTTCATCACCAAAGTTGCCTAGTATAAATGCAGTGGAAATGCTGCTTGCGAAGTTGGGTCACACAGTTGTGTAACTGGCACTCTTCTGCTATTGGAAACTTGTAAATTCATACACCCTTTTTAGAAAGAGATTTGGGTTGTAGAATATTTGCTTCAGTGCCTCTCTTCAATTTAGGTTTTCTCTGTAGTTTTGTCCATCTTTTGCTAATGTTGTGTGAGAAAGTGCATGTTCAGACTTGAAGGTCGTGTTTGCTCATGTACATGATTTAGTAAATTAGTACTCAGATTGTCTAGCTGGTTAGCACTTAAACCCATCATGTCACCTGGAATTCAAGTATCATCTTTAATCCTGGGAGTCTGAAAAATACCTTTTATTTAACAATTAGAAAACTTTGAGAGGGTTTTTTCTGTTTTGTTTTTTTTTTGTTTGGTTTTTTTTTTTTTTTTTTGTTTTTGGTTTGGTTGTTTGGTTTTTGGTTTGTTTTTTGTTTTTTGTTTTTTTTTTTTAAAAAACCTTCAAAATAGATTAAATTTCTGAATCAGTACAAACCCACATTGGGCAAGTCTTCATATCTGGATGCAACTAAGAAGTTTCATATAGTCAGTATCATACCTTGGTTGTATCAAATCGGCATGCCAGAGTAGCTTCTAATTAAAAATGGGTAGTTGGCAGTAATTTGCAGAAGGCAAACTTCAAGGCACGGTAAGGACAATTACAAACAAATTATAGTATCTACAAATGGGTTTTGGTTTTACATTAGTAAAGATCAGAAAATTACATTTATTATTCTGATGTTTAGGTCTTAACCAGGACTGCACAGGACTTTTGCTGTGGAAAATACCAAACCACACTAATTCTGTGGTTAAAAGCTAAACAAGAGTGTAAACAGTCTACAAAAAATGTACTTTTAAGCTGAATTATTGTAATGTTGATTGTTATGTCTATATAAAAGATTGCCTTGCTTTTTTTATGAGAGTCATTCTGTATCAATGCATTAATTATAAATAGTATATTTGTAAATAAGCTGCCACTGAGTCTTCTGAAAGATTTCTAGTATTTCTAGTCTAATATTAACTTGGATGTAAGACGTGCTTTTGCAGTGCCCTAAACTACCAGGAACTGCTTTCTCATTATATACCCATCACAGTTCAAAAGACCTGAAGTAAAATATAGATTTTCATGTAGAGTAATTAGACGAAACTTCAAAAGTTGCATTACTGCTTTACTCAGTCATGTAGATTGGACACCTTTTATAAAGCAAATGTTGGTAAAATCTTTTACTTTCATTTTTTTTATAGTACAGTAGGGCATATTGTAAAAAAAGCACCCACCTTTCTCTATGAAAGGGAAAATAAATCTTGGGTTTTAGTGCAAAATGCATTTCAACAACAACAAAATATAGGTATAGAGTTCTGGTGTGTAAAAGACAGACACTGGCATTTAAACTTCCGGTGTAATAAAAGATAATGTTGCCAAGCTGACTTGACACAGATCTAAACCAATATCTTTTAACTGTCAAGCTCATTACAGTAGACACTGTTTCAGGAAGGTCATGCTTGCATCATGTCCTACAAACAAAAAAAACACTAGTGACCTTTGAAGTCAGAATAGAAGGCCTCAGCAGCTCGGATATGATGATCACAAGGAGGGCACTGGTGTACTTGCTAAAGCTGATCACTTTTATAAACTGGAATGGGTCCTCATAGAGCCCGGCAGTAACTTGTGCAATAATCTGAGTGTTTCTGTCCTTACACCAGATTTCTGCTGATTAAATTCAGTAGCGGGTCTGACCAAGCTGCTTAAAGGTCTGTCTTTGAGTGGAGTCATCCCTGTTCCTGTAAGTTATCCAGCAACCCGAAAACAAGCCAAGGAATTGGCCAGTCTCATCACATGAGTGGCTGTGCCCTGCCGTGATGTTGGACCACGTAGCATCCCTCCCCTGCCCGGCCGGGCTGAGTGGCAGATGTCTACGGAACGTAACGGGGATGCACAGTTCCTCGCATACTGCTCCAGACCCCGCCAACCACGGTTTGAAGGGCTTGCGAAAAGGAAGCGGCATCTGTTATCACTGCATTTAATAACCCCTGATAGATTAAGCAAATTCACAGAAGAAAGTGCTTTTTTTTCTTTTTTTTGGGGGGGGATTTTGTTTGTTTGTTTATTTGTTTTAAAATTTCTTTGTATTTCTGGCCTCTGCAACATCCTGTGTCTAATAATTCTACAATATAATTATGTGCTGGGTGAAAAAGTACTTCCTTTTGTTTGTTTTGAACCACACCACCTTATTTCTTTTGGTGACTCCTAGTTCTTATATTCTGAGAAATTTATGAACAGTCTTTTTCCTATTCATCTGCTTTTTACTACTCTTGAGGGTTTTTTCTCATCAACGGCAGTGTTTTTTCTCCGAGTCACAGGGTTCTAGTTTTTTAGCTTCTCTTCAAACAAAATTTCTCCCATTCTGTGATAATTCTTGCTGCCTTTCTCCATGGTTTTCTAGTCCCAGCCCTGAATCTTCTTCCTAATTCATGTCCTTTAGCAAGCTATTTTGTTTTTTTTTTTTTTTTGTGTACAACTAGTTTGTGAAAGAAAAGTACAACTCTGTTATGAAAATTAAAGTTGAGTGGGTGATAGTTTAGTGCTAAACTCCAGTGGGGAATAATCCCACTAGGAAGACTGAGATTCAGACTTCAGATGCAAGCCATCCACTGCAGTAATGAACTGTTTCCTCTGATTAGCTATAACTGACTTTCATCATCTCTTGCAACTAGGTATGAAAAACAAAATAATAAATTTTCCACAGTATGTTGTTTTTTATAATGCCAGGATTTAAAATATTCTGTTCACGCTAGTGAGAGTGTATAGTTTTAGAAAATGTGACTTTTGAATATTTCAGCTGGCCTTTTTAAACTGTCAAAGCTCAAAATTTTTTGAAAATACTGGGAAATTTCTAGTGTTACTGTTTCTTTGAAAGAAAAGTTGGAGACTGACAGTGCACTGGTTCAGTTTTATTTTCCTCCTTGAAGCCTTTGCAGTAATCTGTGTAAGAAATTCCCATACTTAAAAAAAAAAAAAAAAAAAAAAAAAAAAAAAGGGGGTAAAAAAGCAATTTCCTCCTGCCCCAGTACCATCCTGCTGATAATCACTCGGCAGCCACTGCAACTGGGGGGATCTTGCTGGTCATGACGCCTTTCTGTTCAAATGATTGAAGTGAGTGTACACAGATGAGCCTGCATGTTGGCTCTAATTGAGTGAAAAGTGAAGAAAATGTCTTGTTTCTGGAACCCTGTGTCCTAAAGGCCTCAAAAATGTGCAGACAGCATCTTGTGTGACTCTGGGGAGACAGATGACATGTTTGTGTAATTAATCCAGACGAAGTGCTTCAGGATACCGAGTCTCCCAGTGCTGTTCTCCAGTGACAGGTCCTACTTTCCACAGCTGAGAAGTTGTTCATTTTGGTACTTACTGTATGTTGAAGTGTTTAGTGTGCCAGTACTGTACAGAATCTGGATGCTGGGCAGCTTTACAGAGCATAGCTGGTGCTTTGAACTGTATGTGGTGGCAACACACGTGTTGTAGAAAAAAGGTGTTAAAGGGCTGGAGATGGTTAGCTTTGATACAACTAGAAGAGGCTGAGTGCCTTGAAAGCAAATTTGTTTTGTTTTTGCAATCCATCTCGGTCAAATAAAATACATCATCTCTTCGTACAAGCCTTGCCTCACTTAGGATTGTAAGAGTGGGAGATAATTTGATTACCAAGATCAAACGATGGTGTTTTAGAGGAGGAGCCATCTGGAGTATTTGAGTGAGCAGCTGGCAGCCTGGGCTGCACAGTTAATGATCTGACTGTATGCCTTGCAACTATTTTTTTCCACTGCAAAACCTTTTAAGAGTCTTTAGAGATCAATCTACCCCACTGCCTCTGAGTAAGATGCTATCTGCAAAATTGCACACAAGTGTTCCCTTTTAAAAGCTCTTTCCACAACACCCTCTTTTTCCTTTCTATTGGTGAAGTATTTCTTTGTTAAGATTCATAATGAATCCTTAATTTGCTATAGTTTGGTAGTTGCTTCGCTTGACCTAATAGTAACTGGTTTGCTTTTTGTCCTGCATTATTACAGCTGTGCTGCCTGAAGTGATTTCCAAACTTCATGTGGACAGTTGTAATGGAAATACATTTTTCCATTAAAATCTTAAAATGGTATTTGAAAACAGCCATGGTAAGAATGACACAGTAGAACTCTTCTCTCTATATGACCCAAGTTGTCTGGATGCCCTTCAGCTTTTTTCGGTCCTTGCCAGGTACGTTAACTGAGTGGTAAGTTACAATCAAGAAGTCTGCAATCATCTGTCCTTGCCAGCATAGCAGAGGGCAACAAATTCAGCTAGGTAAGGAGCTGCTGGTTGGCGGGGCAGCTCTGATTGCAAGATTTTTAATCTTCTCCAAGTAAAGTACTTCTTGGGCATTTCCAGCCTCCCGGGAAGCCACAGCACCGTACGGTTCTGGTGGGGGGACCAGGAGAGATTCCAGCAGCGCCCGGGAGTCAGAGGTTTGCCTGGAAGGGGTGAAAGGCACTGGAGGGACTTCCCTAAAAGCAAGTTGAGCAAAGTGGTAAGCGGGTCCCCTGTGGCCGGTGTTTGCTGGTTGGTGCTGTTGGTAGCCCACCCCAGCTGCAGCTCCCGGGCCGCCTGCCAGGCAGGAGAGAGCGGAGCCAAGATCGGTCCGGTCTGTGGCTCCACCAGATGGATGGTCCTGGAGCCAGGCCACCACTTCTTGAGAAGAAGCTTTTGAAATTTGGGGGGGTTGATGTGTTGAAACAGAACCGTATTTGGAAGTAGCAGAACCTGCCATGAGAAGGAGGGGCTTTCCCAGCAGTGCCTGTTTTTTTCCCTGAGGGGTCTCTTGCAGTGTCACATCTGATCTCATTCCCCCCACTTGCACTCTCACCTTCCATCTCTCCTACTTCAGGTTTCCCTCTTTTTGCTAACAGCCTGTTATCTCACCCTGGTGTTTCCCACACTGTGCTGAGCTGAAGTAAGTGGAGGAGGGCAGGGAGAGCAAAAAGATGATGTGGGACCAGTGGCTTCTGATTCGTATACATGTTGGTGCATCCAGTTCCTCTTCTGAACTTGCTTTGTATCAGTTACAAGCACCTTCTCTCTAGCTCTGTTGCAGAACGGAGACACCAAGAGAGAAACAGGATTTGGGAACAGATGGCTGGGAGAGGGAAATATAAAAGATGGATCTGCTGCACATGGCACAGCTGTGTGTTACTCTACAGCTTCTCTGTTGGCTCCTTGGATGCTTGGTTTATATATAGCCAAGTTTTTACATGGTGTCTCAGAGTCCCTGTGAAGGGTTTTCATGTCTGGGTACTTACCAGATAAATGATTTGGCTTGGGATACACGTCAAGACTTGGATAGGAATGAATTTTGATTAAATAACAATTCTGTGGCCAATCTTTGCTCCAAACCATTTAGGAGTAAGGATGAATGTTTTAATTTTTGAAGTGATACAGAGTCATTACCAGTCCGTACAGAGTTCTGAAATGTGTAATGCTTATTAATACTCATCACATTTGCTTTAGGAAAACCCACATGCTCCCACAATTAAATTGTTAGTGAAATATTAATGAGAAAATTACATTCTCATTTCATACAGACATTTAATTCCCCAGAAACATAAAAAAAAAAAATATTTTCTTAAGATATTTGTTAAAGTTGCCATGATCGCTTTTTACCACCCTTGTCTCTAGCTCTGCTTAAGGAAAAGTGAGATTGGATTGTAGTGAGGAATCAATGCTGATCTTCAGTGACTTCAACTCCAGGGGACTTTGCTGGCCTGGTGAGGTGTTCCAGTGCTCAGAGACACTGGGAACCCTCCTCAGTAGCACCTGAGCCCATTCCCTGGCTGGCTGGGTGGTCGATCCCATACACACTGCCTGCTGGGTGGCGAGGAAGGTCTCAACAAAACAGTTTTTCGAGGGACTATCAATTAAAGCCAGTTGCAATCTGCAATGAGCTGCCTTTCTGAGGATTTGGGGGGGGGGGTATTTTTAGCCTAGCTGAACTGAAAGGGTGCTGTTAAGCGTTTATATCACAGTTGTGCTGTTTTCCTCTCGATGTGTCTATGCTGGGACTACGCCTCTGGTAATGCTTGGATGCTGTACGGCAATTTCCACTTCTTTGTGGTTGTGACCCAGGGAATGGCTTGGCTTCAACAAGTGGAAAGAAGAGTTCAGGGTGGGTTCAACACTCCCTGTCTGTAGGGGCCCTCTGGTGTTTCGCACAAAGCTTGCTTTCCCTTTCAGTCCTTCTGCCCTTGCATTTAACTGGTGTTGACAGGCTGAATATCTGAATTGTATGTGAAATGGTTGAGATTTCTCCTTTCCCTCCCACCAGCTGTAGCTCCCATTGGTTGCTCTCGGAGTGGCAGAGGGTGTTAAAGACCTCAAGCCTTGTGAGGATGGTCATGACACCCTGTGCTGATGGGAGCACCGCCCTGCAGTATTCTTCCTCTGAGTGCAAAGATAAAACTGGCAGAAGAATTTGCTGACATTGCTCTGTACAGCGTTGAAAATTACTTCTCAGGAAAAAGAAAGGGGAGAGTGTTTTGTTTGTAGCAGCAGAGATTAATGCTTGTTCATATGTGCTTAGTTTTCTGTGACATTTCAGGGAAAGGCATGCATTATTTTGCTCTTGAGTTTTGTATGGCAGGAATTTCCCTTGCTACCTGGGATGTTTCCAGAGAAAAGGAAAATTTGAGTTGAAAAAGCACAAGTGGCGATGTATTATAGCTCTTCTCTCAGCATCTAGTCTATCAGTCTCCCTTCTCTAAGTGCTTTGTCCTGATTACACGTTACCACCCTTGGTATAGTATTCCCAGGTAGGATAAATGTTTCCTGGGGAGACAGCTATTTTGTATTGCTGAAAAGCAACTGATGGTGCTGAGTAAGCAAATAAATAAAAAGCTGGCATTTAAACTTAATTTGAGCCTCTCGGGGGAAGGAAAAAAAAAAAAAAAGTTGTACCTTGCAATCTGCATAGGGATAGTTGTGTTGTAGGCAACAAGGGAATGAGCGCAGTAACGATGATGGATTTCCCTCTGCGGCACGTTGCGTGCAGGATCTGCAAACCACCGTGAGGATGGAAACTCTGGCTCTGGAGACGGCCACCCCCCCTCCTGTGCTCACCAGATGATGAAGGTTTCTGTCTGCTTTCCACTCACCTGGCTGTCATCACGCAGGCCT